CCTGTTAAAAGGGAGTTTTTCCTCTCCACTGTCGCTACAAGCATGCTTAGTGTGGGGGATTGTATTTGAGTCAATGAGTCAAAGCAATCAACTGGTTTTCCTTAGATAGAAAACTTTGTATCAGTTTGACTGTATGATCTGGTTTAACTGTAAAGTGCCTTGAGATGACATGTGTTGTGAATTTGGCGCTATATAAATAAACTGAATTGAATTGAAATTCCAGGTGAGGGTGTCTGTGATGTTCACCCCCAGGAATTTGATGCTGCTGATCACCTCTACAGCTGAGCTGTTGATGAGCAGTGGAGCGTGTTTTCGTTTTCTCCACATTCAGGATCAGGCTGATATCTTTGCACCAGCTGCTCCACCTCCTGGTCCTGGTCATTGTCAAAAAGCTATCTAAAAACACACCTATATTTTATTTTCATTATTTCAAAAGCTGCCTGTTTCTGAAAAAGGTTGTACCTTTTTTTTTATCATTTAAAAATATTTTCAGTTTTCAATACCCATGTTTAGTCTTTATCAGAACAGAAGGAATGCTTCATTTTTTCAGAACACATACAGACTCTCAACTTTAAAGACACACCTTAAACAGGTCAGTCCATCAAAGAACAATACAGAGACAGACATAAAAAAACTATAACATTACATTTGTGTACCCGTAGGAAAGTAAATTAAACCAAAATATTTTCACATTTCTGGAGGAAGCTGGTTGAGCCCTAAATGGGGAAAATCTAAACAAAAAAGAGCAACATGCAAACTATCCAAAACAGCAGAATCTGTTTAAAAAAATTCATAAAGGCTGTTTTCATATGTAAACAATACAAATATATCTGCTAAAATAAAATAACACACCAAGTGGAAAGTGACCCTTTCTGAACAGATAAACATGCTGTGTTCACAGGAAGTATAAAATAGAGAAGGATAATATGTTAAAGTGGGGAAGCTGTTAAGGTAGGCATGATGAAAATGCCAAAGGAACAAACGAAGAATCACCACTATATCAACTCCATACAGCACAGTCTGCATCAGTGGTTCTGGCTTAAAAACATCATGGAAATGAAGGACATGCTCATATTCCGAAGGTCATAGACTGCAGTACTTTCTACTGACAACCAATAAAGTCATTCTGCCAGAGCAAAGCCAGAAAAGAGTTTGACCATTGTAGAAAATAATGAAAGTCATGTTAAAGGTATTTACTGGGGCTCCCAATGCTGGATTGAACCAGTCGTTTCTGTGGAGATGAATTGCTGAGAAAAGAATGAAATCAGTAAAGAAACATGTTTTTGGTGGCGCAGTGGTTAGCGCTCACAACACATGTATGGAGGCCTTAGTCCTTGACGCGGCGACCCGGGTTTGAATCTGGCCTGTGGTCCTTTCCTGCATGTCTCTCCCCTTCTCTCATGCCCCCTTTCCTGTCAGCCTACTGGCCATAAAAACGAGCCACCAGTGCCGTAAAAACAAACAAAAAAAAGAGAAAGAAACATGTCTGGTTTAAATCTGACTGAAGCTTAAACAGGTGTCTGTGGTCTCAGATAAAAACCTGCAATTTAACCGAATGAAAATAAATACCAAGACATCTCGCCTGGTCAGCCAGGCCAACAATGCCCCTAACCCCTCCCCTTTTCAGACGCATAGACCAGTATCGGGTATTGCTGGCTAACAAAGACCTCCACAGCTCCCCATTACTAAGGAGTGGAGCTATTCTTCCTGTACAATTTGCATGTTTTCTAAGCTATAACAAGGCTTTGTTGGGCCACACTATAAAGCCTGGAACTAAACGCTAAAAGTCATTTTGAATTGAAAAAGCTTCCTGGATGGGAAGTGAAATGTCTTCAAGCTTTGAAAACAAAGTCCAGTGGTTTGTTCTTTAACATTTTTTACTTTTTTAGTAAGTAAATACCAGATTTAGTGATTTAATCAGACGGCTCAGCATAAGCAACCAAACTCCTGGATCTGTTTTATTCCATTTGCAGTTGGATAGTTGAATAATTCCCTTCAATACCACGGAGCAAATTCACAGCTTGTCACCTGAAGCCACTCTAAAGGCTTAATTCAAATATACGGCCGACCGAGTAGATGAGAAACTGGTTCCCTTTGCATAAACTTTGCATAACTGTTCTAAGGCTAATGCATCCTCCACATTTCCCTATGTCTACGCTGATTTTATTTTCTATGCGAAAACTGAGTGAATACTTTCATGTTAACTCTGTTGAGCATAACTATAAATTTAACAGTGGTGTAAACAGCTATTAAAACCAGTAATGTTTGGCTCCCCCTGCTGGACAGTTTGGGTGTGACAGTAATAGAAGTTGAAGCACCACAGGAGAGGGGTTTAGCTTTGTTTTTTTACAGTGTGTGTGCAGGGGCTGACTGTGGCTAAAATCAGCTCTGGACCTTTCTTTGGCTAAGCCCACTTCCCAGGTCTGTACAAGTAGCTTCCAGCACTTTCTGACTGTAACACCCAACAACAGGTTGGGCAACCCTTTAGCAGCAACAACTGACATTAAATATTTGCAATAACTTGCAATGAGTCATTTGCAGCACTTTGGAGGAACTTTGGACCATTCATTTCTGCAGACTTGTTATAATTCAGACCATGGACAGCGTTCTTAAGGACACACCACAGCATCTAATTAAGATTCAGGATTCAAAGTCATCATTTTGTCTTTCTTCAACCTTTCAGAGATGGACTTTCTTGTGTGTCTTGGATCATTTTAGTGCTGCAGAACTCAAGCTCGTTTCAGATTCTGATCAAGTTGGTTGGATATTTTCCTCCAACAATGTTTGGCAAACAGCAGAATTCATGGTTCCGTTTATCACAACGTTCCAGCTTCTGATGCAGCAAACAGCCACAGACCATCACAATATTTTACTGTGGTTCCTTGAATTAATTACAGTGCTACTCCAGTTGTAACGGGAGGCACACCTTCCAAAAAAGTTCCGCTTCTGTCTAACCAGTGAACAAAATATATGTACAACACTCAGGGAGGAATTTAGCATTATGCAACAGTTGCTTAGGGCCCCAAGTTCCTGAGGGGCCCATAAAACTCTTTTTACAGGTATGTTTAATTCAACTATTCCTTATTGGTGCAAATTATTATTATTTTTTATTTATTTCCATAACGCTTATAATATTTAGTGTGTCGAAATCTTTAATTCCTTTTGAGACAGCATCAAAAGGAAAACAAGAAGAAAAGTATGTATGCCTTTCAATGTATTGATTTTAATGATTGTCTTTTTTACTCTGTTTTTAATGTTATGGTCTTTTAAACTTGTTTTAATTTTCTCTTTTAAATGTAGCACTTTGAGATTTGAAGTCAAATGTAAAGTGCGTTTTAAATAAAACTCATCATTATTATTATAAGAAAAGGAACAAGAAGAGAGGGAAAAACCCTAGAACAAATAATGGATGTCTATTCTATTAGAATTTCTGTACCAGTATAATACGGCTGTTTTATGTGTTGTCTTCTCAATTCAAAGGCCCCCTGTCTGTCTTTGCCTAGGGCCCCAAGTTTCTGAAAATCTGCCCCTGACAAATCTATCTATCTATCTATCTATCTATCTATCTATCTATCTATCTATCTATCTATCTATCTATCTATCTATCTATCTATCTATCTATCTAATAATACATAATAATAACTAATTTGATGGTTAGAAAATAATCTTTTCAAATGTTTCCTGTTTCTTCATTCATTCCTTTCACCCCTCCTCATTATGTTTCCAATCTCACCTGGTTTCCTGTCCTTACCTGCACGTTAGCCTCCAGCAGATATAAGCGACAGGAAGTAGGACAAACCCACCTACAAAATAAAGGTCGTCACCTGAATTACACCTGAAACTGTAGTCTTATAAATTTCTTTACTGACCCACGCTGTGCCTGAATCTTTTTGTAGTTTCTGGTTAAAACGTTGAATCGGAACACATCTGTGAATATTTTCAGTCATCCAGGTCATGGCAAAGGTTGAAAGGTTCAGTTTAGGCAACTGGACGTGAAGTTTTCAGGAAGACGTTTCGCCTCTCGGAGTTTTATTTTGAAAGGCAGACACCGGACTTGCTGGCGCTTACGTGTCGGGGCGTGGATGCATTGGCCAGGTGTGTTTCTGCCGTCATGGGGCTGGTGTACTCTGAGGTAAGCTGAAACTTTGACTTTTTGTTCAGAACTTTCTAGAAATCCGTTTTTCTCTCCTCTTTATCCGGAGCGGACCTGAACACGTCAGTCCAGATTAGGCGCCACGCGCTCACCTGGGCTGTCTTGGTTCCTCGTGTGTTTTCTTGGAACAGAAATAGATCTTCCCTGAAACAGCAAAGCCTGCTCTAGGATGTAAACTCTGTACTGTCTGAAATATTTCCACATTAAGTCAGAAGCGCAGGTTTAACGTTCCTGTCGTTTCTGCAGAAACACAGCGGTAAGAGAAAAAAACATGACATGTTGTATTCAGAGCGTTTTGGCCCCTGGTGTGGGCCCTCCTCTAAGAAAGAAGTCATTCACTTACTCATCCCTCCACATCATCAGTTAGAGATAGTTTCAGTTTGACTCTGAAAACAATGATGGAGTTTTACTTTGCACGCGAGCGCTCATCCTTCCTATGTTGGTGTTTGGGATGTTTGTTAAAGTTCTGATCGGGTCCAGTTCTGCAGCTGCTGGGGCCCCATCGCTGTTAATGGAGTAGTTCAGATTTTACAGAATAAAATTCATCTTGTGAGCATTTAGATGACTGTTTAGCAGTTCTTTGTAGTTTTAAAACATTTTGTAATTAAGAACATAATAAAATAATATACTACAGTTAAAATGACAATGAGAATAAAACAAATTTATTTCTGAAAATTGAATATGTTTAAACTCATGCATAACATGTCCTCTTCCCCACCATGGTCAGATTTCCCTCCACTTGACTTGGATCATGAAAGGTTATTAATAATGGATGAATAAATAAAATACACAGCTAAAAAGCAAAGCCCCACTAATCAACTCTGTGCAGCATCTCAAACCAGACCAGATGGAGAATGTTTAGGTGCTTTTAAAAAAAGCATAATGAGATCTACATCTAAAGAAAAGGAAAACAGGTTTTTATGCTGACTGAGGCAGACAGGTGATTCTCAGAGAGCTCTGGGAAGTTGATCAAAGTTTTTATTTTTCTTATTTATTTTTTTTCATAAGGGGAAAAACAGGGGAGAGTGATGACCTACGTTTACCTGCACTGTCTGCTCCTCATCATTACAACACGCGTTATGGAAATCAAATTAGAACTGAATTTGAATTACATTGTGATGAAGTTACAAACAGAATCCGAAACAGGATCCTCGGGATTTTCAGGAGCAGCGAGAGAAAGAAAGAGACACTAGATCTGCCAAACCCCCAAAGAATCGGGAATTATTTTATATCATATCATCCATCCATTTTCTTACACGCTTAATCCCAAGTGGGGTCGCGAGGGGTGCTGGTGCCTATCTCCACTTGTCTACGGGTGAGAGGCATTCTGGACAGGTCGCCTGTCCATCACAGTATATCATATAGGATTCTATTATATTAATAATTATACAATATCAAAATTATTTTATATCAAAAATGTAAAAGAATATATTAACATTTTGCATTTAAGATAAAAAATGTTTTCATCTGTCAATATTCTCTATCCAGAACTCTTGAAGTTGAAAAGTTCTAGTTTAACCTGGTTTAATTTCTTAAAAAATCTCCTTTAAGGAACCTTTGGTTATCCGATTATTAATCGATTAATCTGAAAATAATCAACGGATTAATCAATTTCCAAAATAATTGTTAGTTGTAGCCCTATCACGTACCAAACTCTGACAATCCACTTGTGTGTTTTCTGACTTTGTTTATTTCATGTACCTGCTTTAAAATCTACACCTGACTCAAAATTTACTCCACAAAATGCAAATCCTAAGGAGTTTAATTTGATATGTGTCCAATGAAAAGAGAGAAGTGTTGTAGAGTGTTAAAGACCTTCCTAACATTGACCAGTCCTTTTGACATCTTCCAGTTAGGCTTTGGTGCTCTCTGCAGTGCAGAGACTGCCCTTGTCAAGGCATTTAATGACTCCCATATAGATACAGACTATTAATGAACCACGGTGCTGGTATTACTGGACCATAGTGCAGCATTGGACACTATTGAGCTCTCAGTTTTATTAGAGTCTTTGGAAAACTGGCTCAGCCTGTCTGGCTCAGCACTGGACTGGTTTAAATCGTACTTGAAGGGACTGTTTTGACATCTCAGAACACATCATGTATGGTGTTCCCCAAGGGTCTATCTTAGGGCCCCTTTTATTTAATAGCTCAGATTTTAATAAACACAAACATTAGTTAACAATAGTCACTATAGGTGACTATGAACCCATTAAAGCATGGGGTAAATCCAAGTTTTTATGACCAAAGGAAGACAAAGTTAGGAAATAGCTAATACAGCTACAAACCACCAATCAGGATCTAAATCTGAATGTAGTGATGGACTCAGACCTGAACCTTCAGAGGCTCCTAAAGACTGGAACAAAGCTCTTCTATCATCTACAGAAAGGACTAATGTCTCAGCAGGACTTTGAAGAACAAATCCACATGTTTTACCTTCAGTAGAATGGATCCCTGTAGCGGTGTCTTCACAGGTCTGCCTAAAACGTGGAACAGATAACTGCAGATAACTTTAGAATATTTCTGTGACCTATAGATCACAGATTGGCTTCGCTCCAGAATACATGACAGATTGGTTGTGATTCAATCAACCATCCAAACCTCTCAGGACTTCTGGGTTAAAGGGGAACACCAGTTGTTTGTTTTTTTCACATTGGCCACTTGATTTTACATTATTACATCATGTTCTAATCACCTGTATGAGTGTTGTGTCATTTGGAGCCGTTCTTTTAAAACCGAAGCAGCGCGTGTATGACATCATCCGTGCGCTCTGGCTACCATCTATTCTTCCTGTCCGCTGAACTGCTGCTAGTTTTCCTCACATGCCTGGAAGATGTCTAGTGCTGCTACCACAGATGATGTCGCTCTCCAGATGGAATTGATTGATTCAGGTTAGCTAGAATAAATAGAAGCAGGCAGCTGGTATTCTATGGGTAATGGAGTGACCAGCGCAGTCACCAGATCTGAACCCCATTGAGCTGTTGTGGGAGCAGCTTGACCGTATGGTACGCTAGAAGTGCCCATCCAACCAATCCAACTTGTGGGAGCTGCTTCTGGAAGTGTGGTGCAATTTCTCCAGATTACCTCAACAAATTAAC